CCCGTGTATCTCGCCGTTTCAGAGTGCAATGTATCTGCCACGGATAATTAGGAAAGCGATGCTATTATTGCCAGGCTTCCCGGCTGCAGCGATTTCCTGAGGGAGGGCGGTCGGACGGAAGAGGAGAGGAGAGAAAGCAGGGGAGAGGCAAGCGGAAGCGCGGAGCCGAAGCTGCGTTTTATTACCTGCGAGGCTACCACACTAGCCAATTTTTATATTTATAAAGCGTATCAGGTGAATCCATTTAGTTATCATATTTGCCGACATTTAAGATGCATACTATGTTCAGCCAATATTTTTTTTTGCAAGCGCGTTGAAACTTTGTCGAGTTATCCGCAGCCCATTTTCAGTTGGTTTAATGCGCCTAATGTACCGGAAGATGAGCTTTCAATTGAAAAACCAATATTTAGTTTTCGAAGCTGCATCGCTCATTGCGAGTTCCCACGATGGGCACTAGGCACAACTTGCTATATTTCGTAAAAAGTTTTGAACTTGATTAACCGAGAAATAGACGAAAACGTAGGCAATTTATGGACGAAACGAAAATGAAGGATTAAAAATATAATCTGACTGGACCTTACTTTATCAAATAAAACAATATTTTAGTCCATAATTTTAAATATATTAATTAGTATCCGTTTTAAAATATATTCATGAATACAGTAATGCAACGTTTCAAGTGTTTCTGGTGCGCTCGAAATTGTATACAAAGTTAATGGATACTCTTCGAAACATTGTTAGTTTGATATTGTACACCTTTTTTGCTCATAAATTAATTTTGTTTCTACCATAGAGTTTAAACGCGCATACACATTTAGCGTTTAAAACCATAAAACATGAAGAGCAGTAATTATGAAAACAAATATTTAAGTGGCAAATATTTAAGTTTTTTACGGCAAGACACGAATAAAAAATTCAAGCAAAAACGATTAAAGAAAAGCTGATTCTAACTAGGAGGTGGATTTTAATGAAATGTCAGTTGTTGTTTTTTTTTCACTTTAGAACAATGCCATTTAGTATAGAAGTTCATTTGGTGTTATGATGAAACGATGTGACCAATTTTTATAAGTTTTTTTTGCATTTTTCGTCGATTTCGACTTATAAGTAATTTTTTACATTTTTACGTCATTTTTACTGCATTTTTCGCTTCTTTAATCAATTTCAATATCATTTTAATGGTGCTTGCTTCTAACAATATCTACGAGGTGCAACAAATGTTCACCACAGATTTATTGAGTAGCCTATTTAATATCTTCACTCATATATTGTAATGTCAGCCGTTGTGAGTACTATGTAAAATAAGGTTACTGTGACGTTTATCGGCGGCAATTTTCAGTTTCGTTTGTTCGATTTCGTGATAAATAAAGGCAGAGAATCTGGTGAAGAACAATCCAAACCCACATTTTTCAAGCTGTGTTCACTAGAACAAAAGAAAGAAGCCTCGATTACACCAATAACATATCCAGCAGCAGGGGTTGTTCATCTAAAGTGGTTTTGATAAAAAAATTCAGTCATTTTTCTTTGTTGTTAGGGCATTTTTAAAGCATCTTAAGAGCATTTTATTGATCATTTTTGGCAATGTTTTAGGTCATCAAAATTCGCCCCTAATAATAACACTCAGTTTGAAGTATCGTGAGTAATAGTCCACTTTGAATGATTGAGCTTGCCCGTTTATCTATTAATATGGTCGTTTCATTTCTCGTAATTCTCATCTACAGCTGTCAAACTTTGTCGTATGATGGAATACGGCTCTACAAGCTACTTTTTTACTTATTCCCTCGAGTACTCGACATGTTTGATTAGAAAGAATATTAGTAGGACAAAGCGCATTGAAGGTAATGACACGTAGATGTAGAAATTGGAATACAACGATAGGAAACAAAGATTCAGAACTGGAGGGTTGAAAAATTGGTAGGCAGAAGGACTGTAAGTTTGGAAAGTGGAACGGTTCAAAGCCGGAGTGTTGAAGAACTGCAAATATGAAGTTCTGGAAGGATAAAAAAAGAGAGCTGGAGAAAAGGAAGTCTGGAGAACAGAAAAGGTGAGGGCTAGTAGGCTAACAAAGAGGGGAAGGGACCTGAAGTAGGGATTGGGAGCTTGACGGTGGGGGGTTGGTGAAATAGAGAGCTGTAGAACTGTAATAGTGGCGAGTTGGAGAGATAAAACACAGGACTGGAGAGATAGAAGATGGGAAGACCGAACGGTAGAAGGGATGGTGAGTGAGCGGACTTGCAGATTGGAGAGCTGGTGATTTGGACGGCTGGCAGACTGGAGAGCTGGCAAGCTGATGAAGAGACGGGTTGGAGGGCTGAAGAGCTGTAGTAGTGTCGGGATGGATCCCTTAAAGACTCGAGGATTGGAGAGCAAGAAGATTGGTAGACAGGTGGAAGACAGGCGATGGTAGAGCTGGTAAGTCGGGGAACTGGCGAGTTGGCGCTGTTTCAGAGAGCGTTAGAGGGCTGAAAGCGCTCGCCGCGCGGGTACTCGCCTGCACGTGCTTGGAGAAGAAGTTGTTGGTGAAGAGATGCACGGCGCTGAAGTTGCGCACCGCGTCGAACTCGAACAGCAGCTCCACGTACTTGGTGGGTACCGAGTCGTTGCGCCAGCCCACCCAGCCACTACCTGTGGGCACACACGCGCACATGGCGCTTTCACAACTTGCCCACCGACATGAACCATGCGCATAATAATAATAATAATAATAATAATAATAATAATAATATAATAATAATAATAATGATAATAATAACGCATAATTATAATAATAATAATAATAATAATAATAATCATCATCAAAGAGCTCTCCAGGAACAGAAAACTAAGTTTCATTTTGAATATTGATGTACATTCCGACAGGAATACGGAAATACAGGAACCATTTTCTGAAAAAGTAGGGTAGAAAAATCTATAAATCAATCAAAGAATAAGGAAAACAATATACTATAATTCTGCCAATCATCTCGTAGAAATTACGTCCAAAAAATTGATATTCCCGCAAAGATCTTAAAATGGGTGCAAAAATCTGTTCTGAATGAAAAGACGTGTAACGGAAACCAATATCGAACGACAATTTATCCTATAAAAGTATCCGCTAACAGGAAGTTTGAGATGACAAAAGTCGTCAAACATCTTCGAGAAGTAAAAACTTAAATGTAATTAAAGGTGAAGTATTTTAGTACAGAATTATAGGTAAAGAACCAACCTAACAAATATCTGTTGGAGAGCAACATTTAGTTCACAATACTATACGAAAATAAATTTAAAAAGACATCAAACAGGCCCCTCCCCAATCGCTGATCTATTCAAAAAACTGAACAAGTACCGTAGAATTCGTTAAAATGAATGAGAAGTGAGTCGACAAAAACAGGGTAAAATTCATAGAATCGAAAACAGAAAGCAAAGACACATTCGCGGTGATACGTGGAAGATGAGGCCATAGAATAAGTCATGAGTTTGCCAGCTGGCCGTTACAGGGATAACAAATCTAATGCTTATCTAAATGAAACAGGGAATTGCCTGTCCTCGTATATGCGCAAAATAGAGATGTCCATTATGCAGGTGTCCGTTAAGAGACGTTTCACTGTCCTTGTCGAAATTGTCAGAAACATTATTCAGTCGAATCATTAATAGTACATTAAAAGCAGGTTTTCGTTTTAATTAGAAGTGTTTAGAAAAAAATGCACTGGGAGATACGTAAAAGTGCAAGTGTACCACTGCTATGCCAGGAGTGAAGCAAATATACTCAGCCAGTGCAATCGGTGGGTATTTTAACATTTTGCATCACTTACGGTTTCACACTGAGAATATAAGGGAGAATGAAATAGTTACTGCGATATCAGATTAGGTATCAGGATCATATAGTGACTCAAAAGCCTTGTTTGTTATAAACAATGCTCGTCGAGGGGTTTCCCATTCCTTTGTGGCAATTGAGAGTTTGCAAAGTTTCAGATCTCCAGAGCAACATGGAAAATTGACTTCAAAGCCATCGAGTTTCAAAAAAGGTAACGAATGTAAACATTTTAGAATTATTTCAGAAATTTTACATGCATACTAATGTGTTAAAATTAATTTTACACGTGCCCGTATGGACGCATTTACTTATAATACAAACAGCATTAACTGTACCATTATTCACTTATGACTCGAGGAAAAAGAGTGTATTAATTCTCGGCTTGTTGGTTTTTGATGACACCACAAAACATGGTGAGTTAAAATCTACATTTTTTAACAGCTTTACATTTTACTTTATGGTATCTAGATTTTTTTAAACCTTTGTTCCTCAGATACTTTTACATTTCCTTTCGTCTTCATAAACACACGTACACACACACTCACCCGCACGCATGCACACACACATACGCGCACACACACACGCACGCACACTCCTAAAGTGAGACAAATAAAGAGACATGAGACAGAAGGAGAGAGAAGGGGAGAGAGAGAAGGGGAGAGAGAGAAGAAGAGAGAAGGGGAGAGAAGGAGAAAGAGAAGGAGAGAGAGACGGAGAGAGAGAAGGAGAGAGAGAAGGAGAGAGAGAAGGAGAGAGAGAAGGAGAGAGAGGAGAGAGAAGGAGAGAGAGAAGAAGAGAGAGAAGGAGAGAGAGAAGGAGAGAGAAGGGGAGAGAGAAGGAGAGAGAGAAGGAGAGAGAGAAAGAGAGAGAGAAGGGGAGAGAGAAGGGGAGAGAGAAGGAGAGAGAGAAGGAGAGAGAGACGAGAGACACACACACACATAAACACACAATTTTTAAATTTCCTTAGTGGATAACCAATGTATTAACTTTCTTTTTTGTATTCCAGCATTATAAAATAATTTTTCCTGTTGCAAGAAATCGTTCATAATACTTGAGAAATACTAAATAGTCAAAAAATATATTTTAAAAAACTAAACCCGGACAGTACACTTCCTTCTCTTCCCTGGCCCTCTCGTTCCTTGCTTCGAGACGCCTCCCTATAAGGCGTACCTCCATGGTCTATACAAAATACTTCAGGAGAACTGCGAGTGCGCGAGCGTCAAGCCAAATTCTACATAGAGTTAGAGGTTTATCGAAAGAAGAAGATGTCACATGAGGAATAGCGGTATGTGCTATCCCAGCAGGGGGCGTGGCTGATCCCAGCAGGGCAGACACCCTCACACGCCGCCACGCTCTAATAATGCTCCCGCTTGCTCTTCGACACAGATTTATATGCATAACGCTCCCTAAGAGTTGAACGAGACAAAAACGCCTATAACTCAGTAGTAAAAGCCATGTCAATTAGAGCGCGAGGCAAAAAGCAGGGCGATGCGCTCTGATGCCCGCCCCGCGCCCACCCCGCCCCGCTCCACCCCGCCCCGCCTCGGACGATCGCAGCCGCCGTCGTGCCCCTCGCCGCGCGCCGCAGCTGCCACCGGAAAATGCTTTCTTATTTTAATTTAGCCTGTTCCTGCCATTGAGTAATTCGAAGTTATGCGCGTACGGGCGCGCTTCGCTCGCGGCGGGAACTTCACGCTCATACAAATTAAAGATTTAATTACCATTATCATCAATCACCATAATCATCCGCGTGGCCCCCGCGCGGCGCGTACCCGCCCGCCGCCGCCGCTGTTGCCGGAACCCCTGTGGGCGGGGCCGCGCGGCCCGCTCGCCGCAGCGGTGGGGGAGGGGCGGGGCGGGGCGAGGACAGACGGGACGGAGGGGCGACGCGTCCCAGAGGCGACGCCGAGCGCCGGACTCCACGACAGGGCGTGGCGACGGTCGCCTCTGGCTACGGCCCGGTGCAGGGCGGGAGAAAAGGCCGCGGGTGAGGGCGGAGGGCTGGGCCCGAGGGCACTTGGCAGCCTCGTGTTTGTTTTGCTGCAGTCCGGATGGCCTGCGCCTCGACGTCCCGGGACAAATGACGCCTTCGAAGGTCTAGCTCAAGCAGCTTTCGTGCTAGCTTCGACAAACTCTACTAGCGTGGATGCGCACGTCTCTCTTGCGTGATGAAATTAAGACGGCGGTACAATGGGCGTTTCCATGAGGTCTTGCTTGCCCGATGTTTCGTTGAAGGTTACCTCTGAGTATCGACGTGCGGGAACTAATGACTTACAAATTTCAGGAGCGATCGTAAAGTGCGTTTTTTGGGAAGCAATAGTCAGTTTTGTGATAAGGTTGGGAATGGTGTGAAAATCACTGAATATGTTATTGCCCGTGAGACATGAACTTATCTACAAACGAGTGTATAGAGATAAACGGGCGATTCGGGGAGAGGCGATGTTCAATTTTTGATATTTGATAAGTGCTCGTAAATATAATAATGTAAACGAATAGCTAACAAAATATTTATTAACGTAGCGTGGCACCTCTGGCAAGTATTTTCATTATAATATATTTTTATTTGTGCTATGCAATTCATAATGAAAATAAATTTTAAACTTCAATCATATGCCGGGCTATTCCGTCCTCGGGTGTAGACAATCACATGAAAAATTACGAATAGAAAGTCTGTTACGCCGGAAAGGCGAATAAGAAATCTTTAACTATTACGGATCCTGCAAAACTATGTTTTCCCTAGTATTCTTCATATTATTCTAGGAGAATACGGCTAAGAATAGTATCAATCGATTCGTCCATACGAGAGAAACGGCATGACTAAGTGATCACCACTGTAGATGACTTATAACAGAAAAAACGCGTTTTAGGTGCTTATCCCCTCCTCCAAACACATTGTTCGAGAATTCTTTTAGAATATTCTGGAAGGATTCGGAAAAATAATCAGTACCGTACGTCGCCAGTACACGGAGACTCCTCGAATGACACTGGAGCATGTCCCGAATGGTCGATTGGAAGAGGGGCTACCGGACGAACATACAGGCTACCCGATTCCTACATATAAAAAATTAATGACAATAAGCAACTTAGGCAAGAGATTACAAATACAATTTTGTTATTCTTATTTCGAAAGTAAAAGGCAAGTTCTAAGGGGATGGTAAACTCTAAGAGTAAATGCTCCGACAATTACATAGTATTTACTCGTAGTTAATATAGAACAAACACTACTACTAATTAGTATAAATATTATTATTATAACAGCTTTGTAGACTAAGGTCCCGAGTTTGATTTTATTCTAAGTGATACATTTTAAGGCGCTGAAAAGTGTGGGTAGACTTTGTTTGAATGCGAAGTTGGCAGCAATTTGTCATATTTACAGAAAGAAATAAAAGCGTCCAGAACTATAACACTGCTATTGACAAAATGTGTAAATTATTTGCTCCTTTGCTTCTTTTTAATAATCTTTTTAACAAAAAGCAGATTTATATTGATTCTTGTTGTATATAATTAAGAGAAATGTATTGAAACTATGTAACAGTGATTTTTCAGTCATAAAATACATAGCCGTTCTCTTCCGATCCACGAACAACTAGTTCCATTACTCAATGTGGACGACTGTCTCGTCTGTATTCGTCTAGAAAAAATATATCCTTCAAATTGGTACTTGATCCTGTCCCTTAAGAGTATCTCTGACGCCTCGTATCTGCTATACATCTTTCCAACCGTCAATGATGTTAAATTGACTCTGTGATTCCATCCAAAAAGGTTTTCTCGTTTTCAACCGCGCATTAATATGTCACAACACCTGTTTGCGGGGTAGCAATATTCATTGCATTTCCCTCTCCTATTTTGTGTGC